CCCCCCCCCCCCCCCCCCCAAGGCCTGGCACGTCGTGGAGCCCAGCAAACAAGCCTGCTCGGGGTCCTCCCCACCTACAGCGACATTCGACAGGCATTGCTTCGGATTTTAAGAACAGCCAGGATCTAGGGCTCCCACCCTAAACCCTAAAACCCTAAAGCGTCTATGCTTCTTGATGAGTTTTGGGTAAGGTGTAACACTGTATGAGCTAAAAGTTTTGATTCAGGGTGGCGTTTACAGGGTTACCGGCTATTGCAAAGCGATCGCGGAAGGTCCCTCCGTACCGCCTTTTGTAAAGGGGTACCTCTTTTTGTGCCTCTTATTGGGTTCGGTCTTCGGAGTTATGGGAACCAACCCTAAATCCTAAACCCGACGGAGTGAGGTTTAAATGCGGGCCCACCGCCCCACTCAACAAAAGAACTAAATCAACAGGGCTACTACCACCAGCGAACATAGCTTTAGGGCTTCCAAACTGGGCGAGGATTGAGGGTCGATTGCTTGCCAAGGTCTGGTGGTCTATAGGGTTTAGGCTTGATAGGGTTTACGAGTTGAGGCTTAACTTTCTTGAACCCTCACCCAAGAATCCTCTAAGCCGCTTATTTCAAGCAACATCAAGAACCCTTTCTTCAAGATTCTTAAGCCCTCAACCACAAAATCCTTTAGACTCCGCTGATTATATACCCCTTCAAAGAATCCGTTTCGAGACTGACTGAAAACCCCCAACTTCGAACTGCACTCTTGCCGGCCTGCATCTTTCCCCCAGCAGTCACGGTTTAGGATTCAGGGCTGAGGGCTTTAAAGCCTACATTCTTGCGATGTCAGATCTGGTCTCAGGATAGGGTGTGAGAGCGGAATCAATTGCAGGGATGTGGGGGTCAAGATGTGGGTGTTCATGGCTGAGGGTCAATTTACGTCGTTTTTGCGGCATGTTTTTTTTGGGGGGGGGAGGGAGGAATGATAGGCTGAGAGTAGTGTAAATCGACAACCCTAAACCCTAAACCCTAAACCCTAAACCCTAAAACCCTAAACCCTAAACCCTAAACCCTGATTAAACCCTAAACCCAAACACCCCTAAAACCCCTAAACCTGCAGCCCAGAGCTCCACCCTGAAGGCGTAGTCCTGCTCTCATGTGGGGGTTTCCGAAAATAGGGGACCCCCCATATTGTACCCTAAATAGTATAGGGTTTAGGGTTTAGGGTTTAGGGTTTAGGTATAGGGTTTTTAAGGATCCCCCAAAGTAAGGTACCCCTTACTTTTCGGAAACTCCCATGTGAGAGCCCTGTAAACATCCAGATTCCTTCGAGCCTGAGATGGCATCGAGGATGTAGGGAGCATAAAGCTGTACCTTAAGGGTCCAGATACCTCTTATTAAAGGTTTTTGGGTTCCAGAAGCCATTATTTAATAAGGACTACATGGACCCTTATAAACCCTAAACCCTGAACCTCCAGTCACGCCCAGGACTTTGAAGACTCAAACTCAAGAGATTAGATGAAGGCAGCTTGGATTCAGGACACCCTGCATACTTAGGGGTTTAGTGATGTTGGGTTTAGGGCTTAGGGGTTTAGGGGTTTGGGGGTTTGGGGGTTTAGGGACATACTTAGGGGTTTAGCGATGTTGGGTTTAGGGTTTAGGGTCTTAGTTGGGATTCCCGAGGCCCTAAACCAGAATACCAGCATCCCGCCCTTGAAGCCCCAAGGGGCGGCCTCATGATCCAGTCTGGCGGTATGCACGAAAGCGCTGGTGCACAGCCTGAATTGAAAATGGTCTAGGGTTTAGGGTTTGGGGTTTAGGGTTTAGGGTTTAGGGTTCAGGGTTTAGGTTTTAGGGTTATTGTTTATAGGGTTTAGGGTTTAGGGGAGTTGGAAAGGCATCTGAAAACCTCTGCATCTGTCTCTGTCACCTCAGAGACAAACTGCACGTCCACATACCTGTGTATGTATGTATGTATGTATGTATGTATGTATGTATGTATGTATGTATGTATGTATGTGTGTATGTGTGTATGTATGTGTATGTATATGTACATGTACATGTACATGTACATGTATATGTATATGTATATGTATCTAAACACATGCACCTCTTACATTACGTTTACATGCATGTGCGTGTGCTATATAGGCATAACAATATACACGTGCATACATGCACATACAGACGTACCGAAATGCTCGCAGCGCATGTGTATATATCTAGGCCCAACTCTATGTCATGACATTTAGAACAGGGTCAGGCCTTGTACTAGTACGCGGCTAGCATAAGAGGAGGTTAGGGCATTCGAGCTTAATTAGGGAACCTGGGTAGCAGTTTTACGACACACCCTGACCGAAGCTAGGACGCACATGCCTACTTCTCTGAAGGTTTCTAGGAGGCACAGATAGACCAAATGTCCGTGCTTTAACTTAACTGAACTGCGCGGAAACCCACCCACTCTCTAAATCAAAAAGCAAGTTTGGAAACATGAGGCAGCCGCAAACACGTGCCGACATGGCTGTGGGTGCAGAGACAGAGCAAACGGAGAGAGTTTTCTGTGGTGCCGAAACCGAAAGCAAACAGGATGTTGTCTTTGCTTCTCTTTTTACAGCCCCTGCGCCAAGAAAATCGTTCTGTGAGGTCTAATGACAGGCGAATCTGCTCGGCAGAATCTCCAGCCATGCCTCGAAAGAAAACCGAAATCTTGAGATCATTGCATCCACATGGTCATCTACACACCATGAATACATCCTCCTCCATCTGCCACGCCTGTGACCACTCTACTATTTACCTTCTTTGTTGTGGGTTTTATACTGCAAATGTCAAGCAACACGCTGGCCAAGCCATTCTCGGACGTGAGCCCAGGGGCTTCTTGCCCTCATCTCATTCTCCCTCCCAAGAACTCTCAGCGCTTTTTCTCGCCAGAGTTCTGGGAGTGACCACTGGACACCCAAACCCTCTGCAAGGCCTCGGATGAGTTGTAATGCCCTGCAAGTTAGGACCCATTCTGGAGGAAAGTACGTTACATCATTCATCACATTTCTCGGTGAAAGCTCGTAAGCGCTGTATCCTCCCGGCAGTTCACTTCTGGACCAGTCCAAGACGAACATACCAAGTGCAACTGGACAGTACTCATGGGCCGTATCGGAGAACTTCAGGCCCATGCGGTGCCCGAGCACAGTTCCTGCCTCGTACTCTTCACGAGTATCCTGGCAGTTGGCAATCATCACCACCAGCTCACAGAACTCCCTTCGGAACTTGTAGCCTATACGCTTCATCTGCCCAAAGTCAATGAGAGCAACGGTCCCCTCCGGCTTCCTTAGCTTTGCAAAGGATTGGGAATGGGGTTGGGGTTTAGGGTTTAGGGTTTAGGGTTATGGGGTACTATCAGAACTACCATTCTTCCCTTCCCAATCCCTCACCTTAAACCTAAACCCTAAACCCTAAACCCCAGATAAAGGTAAGCTTCACGAAGACGTTCCCAGGATGAGGGTCTGCGTGGAAGAAGCCCTCCTCCAAGATCATCGTCCCGAAGGCATCGGTCAGTGAGGCCAAGATCTTTCCTGGGTTGTAGTTGTGGGGCCCAGAAAAGTATTTATGAATAGGTACCTCTAAAAAAAACCCTAAACCCTAAACCCTAAACCCTAAACCATAAGGGAAATTTTAAAGTTTCCCAAATTGCCACCCAGTTTCGGCCGGCCCGGAGCGTCGCCGCATCGGGCTTGGTTTTGCTAGACGTGGAGAACTTCTTCGCTATCCTTAAACAGGTGGTTTAGGGTTTAGGGTTTAAGGTTTAGGGTTTAGGGTTCAGGGTTGAAGGTTTAGCTTGTTTTTGCTTTGGGAAGGGGGGGGGGCGGGTGAGCTGGGATGCCTACGGTGCTCCCGAGCTCTTGCTCTTGATCATTGGCTTCTTGCCCCATTGATTTCGGGTCCTTGTGGGAGTTTCCGAAAATAAGGGGTACCTTATTTTGGTGTCCTTATAGTAAGGATCCTACTATTCGGTGTACTATATTAGGGTCCCCTATTTTCGGAAACCCCCTTGTTGGTACGTCAATTAAGCAAATGCTCCGGGACAACGTAACTCGTGCTGTTGACGGCGCTATGTTGCTGCAGTCAACTTCCCTAATGTAAAAGAGCACACGAAGTCTGCCAGTGTCCCTCTCTTAGAAAACACATCAAATTGAGAGCCGTATGCGTCCTGGATTAAACAATTAGTGTCACCAGTAGGACACCCTATATATAGAGGCAGAGCCTGTTTTGTCTAGTATTTTCAGGGGCTCATTGATCGACAGTGTAGTTATGCGTTTTCAGCTCCGGCCTACATTCGACATTGCCCATCCCTAGCATGAGCATTACTATTGGCATTGGCATGGGCATTGGCGTTAGCATTGTAGCATTCGCGGTATACACGTAACATTGGCATTAGCACTGGCATTAGCATTTGGCGTTGGCACGGCATTGGCATTGGCATTGGCATTGGCATTAGCATTAGCATTAGCACTAGCACTAGCATTCGCATTTGCTGCTGCTGCTGCTGCTGCTGCTGCTGCTGCTGCTGCTGCTGCTGCTGCTGCTGCTGCTGCTGTTGCGGCTACTCGGTGGCGGCGGTGGTTGTGGTGGTCGTCATCCTGTCGTGTTCTAACGAGTATTGCAGCGCAATCTCTCTAGCCTTATTATATAGCACAAAGGAACTTCCAGAAGGAACCCCGAGACTAACATTGGGAGCGTTTGTTTCAAGAAGCTCCGTCTACAGATACATCGATAGATAGATGGAGAGCTTTTCTGACATCTTTGAAAGAGCCCATGGAACCACCATCTAATCATGGACTCATCGATCTGGGACTTTCCGAAAATTAGGGTATTGTATTTTAAGGGGTCCTTATAATAAGGAACCTATTATTTAGGGTACTATATTAGGGTCCCCTATTTTTGGAAACCCCCATCTAGAGGTAAGGAGCTCACCTTAGGAGAGGTCTGTGCTCCTGTGATAGAGATCCACGATGCAGTCAGAAACCCAGTGTATCCGTAAACCCTAAACCCTAAACCCTAAAAATAAACCCTAAACCCTAAACCCTAAGCCCTAAAAAACAAACCCTAAACCCTAAACAATAAACCCTAAACCCTAAACTCTAAAAAATAAACCCTAAACCCTAAACCCTGTGTATCCCTTGTAAAGGTGGGCAGCTCAGCCAGCCTTTCATGCCTGGGGCAGAAGCCCAACTCATCAAGAATCCTACAACAAAAAATACAGCAACTTAAAACTTATGGGTAGTTTTCTAAATTAGGGTCCCTTCTAGGGTCCTTTTTATAGGGGTGCCGTACTATATTGGGGACCTGAACAGGGACCCTAATTTAGAAAACTGCCCTCATCCAGATTCCCATCTGAAACCTCAGGAAATCAAGGGACTGAGAAAGTGACATGCCGGGCACAAAGTCCATACAAAGCACTCGACTTGACACGAGGCCAGGGATACTTCTCGGCACCAGAATTGGAGCCTTCCCCTTGCTGCGCATGGCATCTGCCACTCGATCCATGGCAGCAGCCTCGTGGAAAAAGTTGAACTCCTCCTTGAGCTGTGCCTCTATAGGGCTGAGGGCTTTAGGGCTTGAGGGTTGTAGGGTTTAGGGTTCAGGGTGAGTTGTGAGTTGTGCCTCTAGCTCCGTGAAAACTGCGTAGTAATCAACAGGGAAGACGCCACGCAGCTGCAGCGTCAAGGATTTTATGAGGGAGATGTCATCTAGAAGTTGCTCCTCAATGTGAGGACGCTGGACCTTGACAGCAACTTCTCTACCATCCTTCAATATTGCTCTGTGTACCTGAGCAATAGATGCACTTCCCAAAGGCTCTGGCTCCACATATTCGAAAACATCGTCGATGTTGTACCCTTCCAGCAGCTCCTTCTCAATAACTTGGCGTATCACTTCAAAGGAGAGTGGATTCACAGATTGGACCAAGAATGTGAGTTCCTTCGAATATTCGCGTGGAAATAGGTCGACCCGAGTGGCAATCAACTGACCAACTTTGACATAAAAGCCACTCATTTCTTGAATGAATTCTGCCAAAGTCGACGCCCCTTTCTTGTGCATCAAGGTCCACTCATTGGCGAGGCTACCGTCCGGATCCCATTTCTGTCCAGCCGATTCAGCTGACTCTGTGGCTAAGTACCTTGGGGACCAAATGACCCTTATAAGTAATGGGCCCTATACCCTTATACTGTGACTCCCTATATTTCATATGAACCTGAAACCCTTTTAGGGATCATTTCGTGCCTAAGGTACAGAGGGATATAGGGTGCCAACCATTGCGCCGCCGAGGCGTAGCCGCGGATAGATCGCAAGGCCAATTCCATCTTGCTGGGCGGCTCCCCTATGGAATCCACTGTGGCGGAGTCCTTTTGGGGATCCTCAGATTCCGGGCTGTAGCTTTGGGGAGCTGAAAAGTATACGGTTTAGGGTTTAGGGTTTAGGGTTTAGGGTTTAGGGTTTAGGGTTTAGGGTACCTCTATAGAAACCATAAGGGAAATTTTAAAGGTTCCCAAATTGCCACCTAGGTTTCCTCCTTTTGGGAGGTCTCCGAAGGCTCCTTTTGGGTCACTGGGATCGGAGAGGCTTCCTCCTTTGTCGCAAGTGCCTGTGCTCTGAGCTTGCGCTGTCGCTGGCGGATGTGCCAAACACTAGGCAACAGGAGCATCATGCGCACGGTGCCCCAATGAAGAGCCCCTGGTCCGGGCTCACATGTCTGGGGCAGCGTCAGGCTCCTGAAGTGATGGTGCTTCAAAGTTGAAGCGACGATGGGCGATGAACATGAGCCAACTCCGTACATTGCAGAGCTGAGCACGTTCGGCCATGTTACGAGGGGGCGCTCTACAAGCCTTGACAAAACAAAGGCCGGCGAACATGCTCAATCATTCAGTGAGAAGGCCGCAGTATGCAAAGCATGAGCAGGAACTCACAACGCAAGCTGACGCTCACTACCACTGCTGCTGCATTCTACGCCTCCTCCTCCTCCTCCTCTGCTCTTCTTGTTGTTTTGTACAGCTTCATTGATATTTTGTTTTCTTGCTCCAGCGATGTTCAACAGTGCTAAGGGTGCCGTTAAGGGTTCTTTCTAAGGGTTCCGTTGAGGACTCCTTCGAAGGGTTCCGTGAGGGGGTCTCTTTAAGGGCTGCTTTAAAGGAACCCTAAAACCCTAAAACCCATACCCAAAGGGTCCTAGGTACCGTTATGGGGGATAC